TTTTCTCCTGGAAGTTTTTTGGTTTCAAGTCTTACAGTTAAGTCTTGAATCAATTTTGAGTCTGTTTTTGTGTGTGGTGTAAGAGAAGGGGAAGGCACCCGCTTTGGGTTCCAAGGTCCCTCTTCCCCCCAACTTTCAATATCTTCTTACATTTCTTTTACATATAATGTCAGTTTATAGTTGTAATTAGCAGGAGGAATAGAGAAAAGTAAGTATATCTACATCTTCCCAGGTGACTTCTTGAGTTTCTTTTATATCTTTCATGTGTCTGCTTAACAGGCTTAATCTTTCCTCTGCCTTCCTGATCATGTGGAATGTAATTACTGTTTTTAACATCCTTGTCTACTAATTCTATCATCTGTCTTTTCTGAGTCTGTATATTGATTTTTCTTCTCCTTATGGGTCATGTTGTTTTGCTTCTTTGTATGCCTGGTAATGTTGACCGAATGCCAGTTATTGTGAGAGTTACCATGTTGGGTACTGGACATTTTGTAGTCCTATAGATGGTCTTATACTTTGATACAGTTAAGCTGCTTGGAAACAGTTTGATCCTCTCAAGGTTTATGTTTAAGCTTTGCTAGGTGGGGTCACAGCAGCCTTTATTCTAGGGCTAAGGTTCCCCCACTACTGAGTGTTCTAGCAAATAGCTCATGGATGATGAGGTTTTTCCATTCTGGCCAGTGAGAACCCAAACTATTCTCAGCCCTGCATGGACTACAGAGACTATTCCCTCTGGTTTTTGAGCAGTTCTTCCCTGGGCCTTAGCTAGTTTCTTTGCACACATGCGCTGTTCAGTCCTTAGCTGACCATTCAAGGGCAATGCTCTGAAGGTGCGGTGGACTGAGCAAACCAAACCCATACACCGTCTAAACTCTCCCAAGCAGTTTCCACTTCTGAGTCCCGAGTCCCAAGAAAAATGATCTGTCCCAGTCTTCATTCAACAACTTCTAATCAAAAGGAGTCCTCGAGGAACAGGGCAATGAGGTATGGAAAGGGACTGTTGCGATGCACCATGGGAAGTCAGTAGCTGAAGCATGTTTCCACGTGTGTGGAAACCCCAGAGCGTGACTGGGAGAGGAGGCACCGAGCTACTGTAATAACCCAATGAGAGATGAGGTCATCTATTGGGGATCATCTTTTTCCCCATTCGTATCATGGTTTTTATGGACTTGTTTTACATTTCCCACAAAACACACACACCAAACACACACACACACACACACAAATAGTAAGCTCCTCAAAAGCAGGAACGGAGTGTTACTTGCCTCACTACAGGGGATTTATTATTTGTCTTTCCAGATTAGAGTCCTCCATTCTTTTGTGGAACTACTCCTGCCCCATTCCAACCTCATGGTTCTGCCAGGAACAACAGTCCATCATAATACTGGATGATCACATGACCCTGAGCTAACCAATCAGAGTTCTTCCCTGGGATTTTTTTTTTCTCCCATAAGGCTGGTGTGGGAAAGCCTTTCCTCTCTGGCCAGGAGACTATCAGGATGTAAGCCTGGGCTACCTGTGGCCATGATTCCGGGCCCATGGGGACTGCCAGCTGAGAGAATAGAGCCAAGGGAGAGGGATTTGATTACCTGGACCCAGTCATCATGAGGCGAGCTTCTCTCTGGCTGTTAGTGTTATTTAACATAAATTTCTTCTTGTCTCTTAAGGTAGTTTTCATTAGGTCCCATCACCACCAAAGGGCCCTGACTAATGTACTAATGCCCATCACTGCACCATCATCCGTCAGGCATGGTATAAAGAAGCTGTTCAAAACACAGCTGAAAAGGGCAAAGCATGAAAAAAATGGCCTAAAGAAGAGAACGTTCAAATTAAGCACAACTGGATGGGCCATCCCCTGCTACTGCCATGCACTGGGCAGTGTTACTTGGGTCAGGTGGACCAGAGAACAACTCCAGCCCTGGGGACACCCAGGCTTCACACATCTCAGATGCCATCCTCACTCACCACAGGGCAAGGCATCCTACTCACAAAACCCACTCTGACCAAGTCCCTCTCCATCTTGGGCTACCATGAGGATCCTCCTTTCCCTCTTTCCCAGTTTCAGAAACAAAAGAACCCTGGTAGGATGTTCAACAGAGAATATTTTTCCACTGAGGTTCAGAGAAAGGCCTTGCATCTGCTCCAGGAGCTATGACCTCCTGGCTCCCACCACCCATCCCTGCTGGCTGAGCTAGCCTGCAGCATACTTCTCATCAGAGAAGCCTCCTCTGGTCACTATTTTAAAGAACAACCCTTGCTCGGCCGGTGTGGCTCATTGGTTGAGCATCAACCCATGCACCAAGAGGTCGCGGTTCGATTCCTGGTCAGGGCACATGCCCGGGTTGTGAGCCAAATTCCCAGTGGGGGGCATGCAAATTCCCAGTGGGGGGCCAATCAATGTTCTCTCTCATCGATATTTCTATCTCTCTCTCCCTCTCCCTTCTTCTCTCTCTAAAATCGATAAAGGGAAAAAAATTGTTTAAAAAAAATAAAGAACAACTCTTCCCACCTCCAATCCCTCTGGCATTTTTCTCCACCTTTGATCATCACCCAACATGGTATCTATTTATTTTCTAACCTGCAACCCAACTAGAATACAAGCTCCAGGGGGTCAAAGACTCTCGATTTTGTTCACTGTCCTATTCTCAACACCTACGACAGTGCCTAATGTTGTTTTCCATAAATATTTGTTGGATGAATGGATGAATGCACATGCAGTGATACAAGACCAGAAGCAAGTCAACAGAGCAGGATGAAGTGATCTGCCTTCAGGTCTACAGGAGGTTAAGCTGAGCAATAACATGACAGGTCCACCCTCAGGTGGGATAAAAGGAAGAATAGGACAAATGGAACTCAGGAGGTTTTGGATTCAAGCTAGTGATATAGTTGAATGGAAAGCTATTATTCTTGCCTACCTAGCACCCATTCACCCTTCGGACAATAATCCTTGATTTTCCTTGAGTCCACCCTACTTTGGCCACTGAGCATGTGATCTGATCTGGCCAACCACATACCCCACACCTTTGCTCATAGTGACTGCTTTCTGTTTGGAAACATGATCCAATTCAGCAAGAAGAAGAATACTATGACATCTACTGAACAAACAGGAAAAAGAAACTTTCTCTCCAGTGACACTGCTAGTAGTAAAGTCTCAAGCTGTGAGTCACCACCTGGAACCTGAGCATAAGCCAACTCAGAAGAAAGCACCCTAGAGAGATGTCGAGAGACCTGAGTCCCTCCTTGGGACCTAGCCACGCCCGAAGGTACTGGACATTTCAATAATGTCAGCCAATACAACTCATTTTCTGGAGAATTACTTTGCATTGGGTTTCTGTCACTTATAACCGAAAACATTCTGACCAATACTTAAGAACAAGAGGAAAACATTGTTTTTATCCTCACCCAAGGATATATTTTTCCATTTATTTTCAGACAGAGTGGGAGAGAGAGAGAAAGAGGAGAGAGAGAGAGAGAGAAGAAAAACATCAATGTGAGAGAGACACATTGATTGGTTGCCTCCCACACAACCCCGACCAGGACCAGGGACCAAACCACAACTGAGGTACGTGCCCTTAACCAGAATCGAACTCTGGCCCAAGGGCTTATGCTCTAACTGCTGAGCCAAACCTACCAGGGCGAAAATATATTCTTAAGACTGTTAAACAGCTCACAGGGAAGCTTAAGGCCAGGCAAGGTGTCCCAGAAGTACAACCCCGTACCTTTTGGTGAAACTCACTGCCTGTCTTTAGTGAGGAGGATGGAGGTTGAGAAAAAGGCGGTAATGGTGCTAGATTTATTTATTATTTGCATTTACATTTTGGTAATAAATTCAACAACTTTGTCTTGGGTGTATTAACATCTCAGCATCTCACAGTTACAAGAGCAGTGGTTAAACAGAATCCAATATTCTACCCAGTGCAGAGGGAGAGAGACTATGGTGTGGTGAAGATAGCACTGAATCAAGAGTCCAATAATCTGGCTTCTTTTTAATCCTTATCTGATCACTAATTGGCAGTGTGGTCTGAGATTAATCATCTTGCTTCTCTTGGTCTCAATTCCTAAGTATGTAACATGAGCAGTATGACTACAACACCTTTAGGCACGTGTCCAATTCTGGAATGGCAAGCTTACTAGAACAAGGGTTCCTAATCTTTGATGGGGTCTAAGCACCAGAAAAATACTTATGTGCATGAACACATAATATTGCATAGAGTTCCATGGAATTCACAACTCTAGAAGCCAATCTACATCTCTGATCTCTCTGCTCTATAGTAACTAGGACACTCCTGCTTGGATTCCTCTGGTAACAGGAAGCTCACCACTTCACAAAGTAGCCAAAAACAGTTGAACTGCTCTAGAAAAACAACCTCATCTTCATATTGAACCAAGATCTGCACACTTGGTCCACATTCTCTAGAGGAAATCAGAAAGCCCCAACTCTTTTCTGTGTATGACATCTCTCCGTTTCTCCAAAGACCATTTCTAACTTTTAAATGCAAATAACTTATGAGGATAAATACAGATGATTTGTCAAGCCAAGTATTTTACCCTGCACTGTTATAAAGATGAGTTCTCCCACCCCCACCCCAAATACGCCAAACACCCAAATGTAGGTGACCCATTCCAAATAGGCACCACTGCTATTAATACGCGCGGATCTAGCTTTTGCAAAGAGGGGAAACATCTGGAAGGAAACAGTAAGAGCACTGCATTAAGAATCAGAAGACTCGGGCGGTATCCTGCCTCCCACTCCAACTACCTGTGTAGTTAGGCAAGTCACGTAACCTCTCTGAGCCCGTCCCTCGTTTGCAAACTGTGACAAACCTACACCAGAAGGATGCGGGGAGGATTCTCGCAAATGCTCGGTCTACACCGCCCCGGCTCGGCCAGCGCCGCGCTCCATTCGATGCGCTCGGCGCTCCGTCGGCAGCGGGATTCCCCTCCGCCGGCCGAGCCTGCGCTCTGGGCTCGACTGAGGCGCCCTGGCCGCTCGCGCTCCACTCTCCTCTCCAAGATGGCGGCGGGCGGCGGCGCGGAGGCGGGATCCGGCCGAGCGGAGTGAAGGTAGCGGCGAGCGGAGCCCCCGCGAGGCCGGGCCGGGCCCCCACCCCGAGGCGGCGGCGGCCCCGCCCCGCCGCCACCCGCCTCCTGGGGCCCGCGACACCGCTCCGGGGGCGCCCCAGGCCCGTCGCGGCCTAGCCCGGGGGCCGAGCCGGGGACTGGAGTAGCGGCCGCAGTCCGCCCCCGGGAAGGGGCTGGAGCGGGCCGAAGGAGGAGGGCGGGCGGGAGCTGTTCAAACGGGGAAGGCGGGAAAGCTGCGGGGCCGGGAGGGGGCGTGCGGCCGCCCCGGGGGCCTCGGGCCGGGGCCGCCCCTCCCCCTGCCCGGGCCGTCTCCGCCCTCGGGGGCGCCGGGAGGCCGCCGGGGCCGCGGGAACCCGGGTTGGGGCCGCGCTGGGGCCCCGGGCCGTGGGGTCCCCGGGAATGTCACGGCGAAAGGGCCACGGAACCGGGGCGCCGGGAGGCGGGGTCCTCGGCTGCAGGAGCGGAGGCGGGAGCTTCTTTTCCTCTTCCCAGAGCTTTGTTGAAGTGCTGGGGGAACCCCGTCGGCTCGTCGCGGGGGCCGCGGAAGTGGGGGTTCTGGGGGCTGTCAGTGTAGGTCCCGGGTGCGGGGGTGCTCTCCGCTTGGGACCCTTCCGGAGCGCGCCTCTTAGAGGGTCTCCTCCCGAAGGGCCCAGTCCCCGCAGCTAGCACCTGTGGAGTCGCTGGAGTCGCCCTCCTGCAGAAGAGGAGGAACATCTGCCGCCTTCTCGCCGATGGTGAAGCTGGGCTGGTTCTGTGCTCCTCAGGGCAGAAGAAAGAAAACAGTCCACAGGAAAGCCTGTTGATTGGAGGAGGCTTGTCAAAATCTGTCTTGCTGGTGGTGTGGAAATGTGTGTTGTCGGCCTGTCCGTGGTCGTGGCTGTTTCCCGGCCCCGCGAGGAGAGGATTCGACCCCCACCCGGGCTGTGAGCATCTCCGCGGTTTCCAGAGCTGGCAGGGGCTGTGAGTGCTGCATAGGTAGGTTCTTGGAGAAGGGAGTGGCAAGAACTCAGAGTCGCACTGTGCAGAGATTGGAGGAAATCTCGACAGAAAATGAGAGGACATCACCTGCTGGTACCCTAGAAGTCACAACAACGAAAATTCAGAAACTGGCCACACCTGGATGTGCATCTTCCTGTCCCTGCACTGACTGGCAGCTTCAGTTCCCGAAAGGTGTTCTGCAAGAAGAGAACAGCCTTGGCTCTCATCCTGGACTGGACCTGGATTTCAGGACTTCGCTTGCTGCCCGGTTTCAGGGGCTTCTTTTGTCCCCTCTTTCAATATTCATTTGCATTCTGGGATGAAGAGGCTTGGTAGTGATTGCTGGGGCAGCTCAGGTTACCACAAAAGAAATCACCTGAAACTTTTTTTTTCTCCCAGTATAATTTCAAAATGACAAAGTACTATTGAGGATTTTTGGTTTTTCCCTAATTACTTTGGTGATACAGAAAGCTATGCCTGAACATGACGGAAGTACTTATCAACAAGAAGAAAAGTTCTGCCTCTGCTTTTTTTATATCCTGAAAGTTCCAACAGAGCCATTTAACAAGTTGCACATTTCATATGTAGACATTTTTTATGATGGCATATTTCTTCCATAAGCAATATATTAAATAATGAACTTTCACATATGTTGTCATTTCATAGCACACTAAGAGGAACAGAGTTGTAAAATTATGCCTGCCTCTTGAAGTTGACAACATTTAATTTTAGAAACTCCAAAATTGTAGATTTCAGGAGAAGAATGGGTTTTAACACCTGTTTTACATTTGCCAACACTTAATGTCATTCTGGCCTCTATTTTCTAATGTAAAAATCAAACCTGATATTTTTCATTTTTATTAATCCTCACAATCTGCTGCCTAACCCTGAACTGTGAATTTATCCTGGATAATATTCAAGACCGGGAAGGAATATCGGGAGTCACCTGATCTTATATATATGTTGCCCTAAGTCTGCCTTTCTTCCGCACTGTTGCTTGAGACTTCTTTATCTGGTTTCATCTTTCTTTTGTGAGTCAGCAACCAAAACTAACCCCTAAGCTGCAATAATATTCTGATTTTAAAGTACCTAGAAATTCAAGGTCCATCGGTTCCCTGACTGTGTGACATAGTCCATTGTGGCTAATTTTAGTTTTTTAAGCTCCTGGCTGTCCCAGATTTTTAGTGAATTGGACTTGCCTTCAGGCCTCGTTCATATTTTCTTTTTTTAACAGGTTATTTAATCCTGTAATTTATAAAATGTTCTTCAGTGTTGTTGTGTTTTTTTTTAATGAAAAGTTAAGTAGTAACAGGCCTAATTCTAAGGCATAATGCTAAAACTAGCACATGCTTTTTGGTTTGGCCTGTGGATCAACTCTGTTTTATGTTAGTTTTGATGTTACCAAAGGGAAGACCTGGCTATAAGGCTCAGAACCTGCCCCTGTTTCGTGTAGTAATGCATTTGTTGTTGACAACAGATGGTAGCCATACTGATGATGTAGATTAATTAAGGTCCCCCCCCCCCTCCAATTCTCAAACATTCTTTGCCAAAATTCATTTGGCAGGGGAAACATCGGGTGGAAAAGGGAGGACAGTAATTTTTGTTTGAGAAAGTTTAATGCTTAAGGCTAAACATGAAAAACTGGCTGCATTGTATACATGAGACCTGACTTTATATTGCCTTCATTTCCTATGAAAAGGCCTTTCAGCAAGCAGTTTTTCAGTTTATCTTTAAAATAATTCAGTTCATTTTCTTTCTTTTCTTCACTCTAGCTTCTCTTACCTTGATCAAGTCTTCATTCCACTTCTTAGAGAAGTAAAGAAATGCTTTTTTATGTTTCTTAATCTTACTTGTAAATCATTCTGGGTAATACTTTTTTCTTTCTCCTTTCAAATTAGGCATATCTGTGCATTGTATTTTATCTGACTTGTGCAATTAAGTCTTTCATTTATTTTAAATGTAACTCTCATGGAGTTTTCCTTATTCATGTTTTCTTTTACGAAAGTTTCATATTTCATTATTATCCATACCTACATGAAGGGATTGGTAATGTCTCGTTGAAGTATCCTTCAGCATTTCTAAATTTCATTATAGTAATGAAGTCAAAATTTAAGTAAATGATCAATCAGATCAACTTTTAAGCATTTTTCTAACTGGATGAGAACATTTTCAATATATTTACAATATAATTTTGTAATTTCCTAAAAAGACTTTTCCTGCAGGAATGATGACACTGCCTGTCCTTAAAGTATTTGAATAACTTTACCATAGAGTATAGTTCATGGCTTGTCATCTTCAAAGTCAAAATGGACATGTAAACTTGAATGCCAAAAAAATAACGTTAACAAATTCAAGACGAAACGTAAAGCATGTATGTTACAGTAATTCTTCAAATTAGTGAAAATCTTAATCATATTTCATCACCAGTGGACAAATGATCATTCTTCCTTTGATCTAGTCTTTAAAAGGCTTGATGGTGTTGAAAGCTGTCACAGGGCCAACTAATATAAGAAGTGTACCTACTTTTACACTTCTGTGATTTGGGCAAATTCATATAGCCCAACCAGATGCATACAAAAATATGCTTTCAAGGTCTTTAATATTCCCTATAATGTCTTCATTATGTCTGCCTAAATGGCAGTGCAATAGATTTTAGCCTGTTACCAATCCAAATGGTAGGATTTTGTGGTCTCGAATGTGTGGTATAATCTGTCTTCCTCTGCATCCTGCTTTATCTGCATTTTGTAACCATGATTGAACCTATCCCTCTGACTTAATGTCGGTTTTTACTCTGTCTCAGTGTTGTCAATCTTGTTGGCATTTCAGAAATTCTCATTAATTTTGAAGTAATTTTTATGTGGGAGGTATTTTATATACTTCCCCCAACAATAACTTTAATTCATGAATCAAATCAAATTAAGTCCAGTGCACTTCATGCAGTTTCAACCCCAGTATATTTACAAACAGAATGAGGAGGTGACAAGACACTCCTTTATTACTTGCTGCCCTTCCAGTCTGCCCTTGGATCACTGCGTATTTCCATCTGGAAGGTTGCATCTCCACAGTGATTTCGCATTACAGGAAGGTTTTCCTTCTTTGTTTCTCAGACCTGGTCCTGTAGACGGAAAGGAGCCTGGACACAGTGACACATTCTCAAAGGCCCTGCAGGATCACCATGGCTTATGATGACGCTGTGAAGAAAGAAGGTATGACCCCTTAATCTGAGAAGCATTTCAAAGGGGGTATCCTCTTCAATCCTTGCAGCCCATGGACATAGAGACCAGGACTGGCCATCACAGCCTGGACTCCCAAGTGATGATCCAGAGCACTGTTAAGCCTCCGCATCATCCCCAGACTGGGCCCATGGAAACGAACACCAAGACAGGGTTCCAACACAAGAGTCTGAAAAATAGTAGTCTATTGGGGCGATCCCTTGCAGCACTCGTGGTCCTTGCCAGCTCCAGGGTGCAGGAGTCTGGGGATAGGAATCACATATTGGACTCCCACAGAGCAGCACAGCACGTGAATCCTTATTCTTTTCAGCCTTACCTCTGCAAGTCTGTGTCCACCTGCCAGATCACAACTAAGAAACTATGTCTGAGGATGCACATTGGGTCTTTGCATAGCATAGAAGCCTTGCTTCTTCAGGTTTGACTCTTGTATTTGCAGCCAAGTCATCAGAAAGATTCTTGTCCCCTTGGATCTGGCCTTGTGTTCCAGTGGACTTACTGAAACATTATTTTAATTTGGAAATGGAGGGACTGTTGCATTACACATGTAGTGGTTTAGTTGTTACTTACTTGACTTTCTCATTTCCTTTTCTTGCCCAAATGAACCTGTGCTTCTCAGATTGCTTTGATGGTGATCACAGCTTTGAGGACATAGGACTAGCAGCTGGCCGAAGCCAACGAGAAAAGAAACGTTCTTACAAAGATTTTTTAAGAGAAGAGGAAGAAATCGCTGCTCAGGTCAGGAATTCTTCCAAGAAGAAGTTAAAGGTAAATTCTAAACATTTGAGTCAGGAAAGTTTTATTTATTTATTTATTTTTTAAAATTTTTTTATCCTCACCCGAGGACATTTTTCCATTTTTTTATTCAGACAAAGCGGGAGGGAGAGAGAGGAAGAGAGAGAAACATCGACGTGAAAGGGACACATCGAGTGGCTGCCACCCGCACAACCCAACCAGGGCCGGGGACAAACTGCAACCGAAGTACATGCCCTTAGCGGGAACCAAACCCGGGTCTCTCTGGACCACAGGCCGATGCTCTAACCGCTGAGCAAAACTGGCCAGGGCGAGTCAGGAAAGTTTTAAATTATCACATATCATCTCCTAATATTTGAAGAAAGAAGTTTCTTTTAAAAATGTTTTTAAAAGAAAAATGAACAACATTCGTGTTTATTTTTATTTTGTTTTATTTTGTTTTCCAAAGTCAGAGATAATCAAAAAACAAGATTAGTTTCAAGCTGCTTTTGCCTAATCCTCTTATTCATTGGCCAATTGTTCCTCTTTAATTCCAGGATAGTGAACTTTACTTCTTGGGGACGGACACGCACAAGAAGAAGAGGAAGCACTCCTCTGATGATTACTACTATGGAGGTGAGGATGGGAAAGGGCAACAGGTGGGATAAACTCATCACTGGTTCTTGGAGTCGGGGTAGGGGAAAGGGATCCAGATGTTGCTGACTCAGTGGCCTATTTAACAGGACAGTGGTTCTTGTTCTGAGTGCCGATAAACCAGTGTGAAGGAGGAGAGAGGTGGAGGGCTGGTATTTTGGAGGATTCAGCATAGAAGAACAGTCTTCATTTGTGATACACCAGGTACCAGGTTCCTTCTCTCCCCAATCATCCACTTATCTTGTGCCCATTGTTATCTAGCATTCCTTTGCCATATGTAGTCCTGGGGCCTCTGGCCTGCACCTGTGGGTTAAGTCTCAGTCCAGTGCACATCCACTCACAGACCAGCTTTTCTTAGCTATGCTGTGCACATAGCTGACAAGACTAACTCTTTACTAGAATAGGTTTGTCTTGAAGACAGAAACAAACAATATTCTGTCTGGAGTATAATCTAAATTGTAACTCTAATTGACCCTTGAACAACGTGGGGGTTTGGAGTACTGACCCCTGCACAATTGAAAATCCACATATAGCATTGACTTCCCCAAAATTTAACTGCTAATAGCCTGTTATTGACCAGAAGCCTTACCAATAACATAAACAGTTGACACATATTTTGTATGTTATATGTATTGTATACTTTATTCTTACAGTAAACTAGAGAAAAGAATGTTATTTAAAAATCATAAGCAAGAGTAAGTACATTTATTGTATTTATTGAAAAAAATCTGCATGTAAGTGGACCTGTGCAGTTCACACTCATGTTGTTCAAGGGTCAACTGTACTCGTAATCCTACAGCTATAGTCCATTCTTCTGGGTATGCTCTCTTTGGTTGCTTGTGAAGACTCTGAAGAAAAACAACTCTAGTGGTGAGAACTGTCTCCAGGGTCAGAGGCAGGATCTACCAGGCCAAGAAGCATGGGCATCATCTCTGAATGTTAGAAACCAGTTGAAGGGCCTTCCTTTAAATCACTCCTGTTAGCTTCTTCCTCGTCTTAGTTGGGTGTTTGGGGTGAGAGAGGAAACTTGGTGGAAGTTGCTTTGTCATGTGGACACTACTTCTCTTTATTATTTCTAGATATTTCGTCTTTGGAATCGTCACAGAAGAAAAAGAAAAGGTCCAGCCCACAAGCTGCTGATACAGCTATGGACCTGTTGAAAGCTATCACTTCCCCCCTGGCAACAGGCTCCAAGCCCTCCAAAAAGACGGGAGAAAAGTCCTCTAGTTCTTCAAGCCATTCAGAGAGTAGAAAGGAACACCACAGGAAGAAAGTAAGTGGAAGCAGTGGGGAACTATCCCTGGAGGACAGTGGTTCCCACAAATCCAAAAAAATGAAACCGCTCTATGTGAACACTGAGACACTGACCCTTCGTGAGCCAGATGGTTTAAAGATGAAACTTATTCTCTCACCAAAGGAGAAGGGAAACAGTTCAGTTGATGAGGAGTCTTTTCAGTACCCCTCTCAGCAAGCAACTGCAAAAAAGTCCTCTAAGAAATCAGCTCGGGATGAGCAAGGTGCTTTACTCCTAGGACACGAGTTACAGAGCTTTCTGAAAACAGCCCGGAAGAAGCACAAGTCATCCTCAGACCCACATTCGTCTCCTGGCCCTGAAGGCTGTGCGTCAGATACCTCCCAGTTCCCAGAATCCCACAGTGCTAACCTGGATCTTTCAGTGCTTGAACCTATCCTAGTAGAATCAGACTCATCCTCTGGAGGGGAGCTAGAGGCTGGCGAGTTGGTGATAGATGATTCTTACCGGGAAATCAAAAAGAAAAAGAAGTCAAAGAAGAGCAAAAAGAAGAAGGACAAGGAGAAGCATAAAGAGAAACGCCACTCCAAGTCCAAGAGAAGTTCAGGACTTTCTGCTGCAGCAGTGGGAGAGATCACAATGACACCTGGCCCTCCTCCCAGCATCCCCTACCCTGGAGCAGCTGCCACTCCCCCGCCGCTTCCTGGCCTCCACACAGATGGGCATAGTGAGAAAAAAAAGAAAAAAGAGGAGAAGGATAAAGAGAGAGAAAGAGGAGAAAAGGTAAAACATTTTTTAAAGTGTGGTGGGGTTAGATGAAGCAGGGTGTGGCTCAGTTGGTTGGATCATCATCCCATACACCCAAAGGTCACTGGTTCAATTCCTGCTCAGGGTACATACCCAGGTTGCAGGTTTGATCCCCATTCAAGGCATGTATGGGAAGCTACTGATTGATATTTCTCTCTGTCTCTCTTCCTCTCCCTTTCTTTCTCTAAAATCAATTTTAGAAAAACATCCTGGGGTAAGGATTTAAACAAGAGAGAGAAGAAGCAGGTTTTTCCTTGATAGTAGTATGTGAATGTGGAGTGACACAAAGTATCAAATATTACCAATGGCTGAGTCTGGTACAAAATAGCAATGTTAATTATTCATGGATTTTCTATTTTAATAGAGTTGTCTCGTTGTGTCAAGTATAGGTGGGGCGGAGAAAGCTTAATAGGAAGTAGCATTGCAAAACAACTGAATTCGAGTCCTATGTTTCTAGCTGACAGTACATCTTTCTACCTGGATGCCTTGGGTACCTCACACCCCCAAACCTACATCTGCTCCTTTTTCTCCTTCTGTATTCCCCAATTCCTATCAATCAACCCGAACTCAAAACTATGTGCTTACATACACTGTGTGGGAACTGACCTTGTTCCCGTGCATTCTTACCACCATCCCTCTGCCCGTTTTCTTCAGTGCCCTTCGTCCCTTCTCGCATATTGAAGCTGTGCCTTCCCTTCAAGACCTAATCAAGTGCCGCCTCTTCTAAGACATCCTGACCCTCTGGTCAGAATTGGCTTCTTTTTTATTTAAATTGATTTGAGGGGGAAATCTATTTGTTCCACTTATTCATGTATTCATTGATTGCTTCTTGTATGTGCCCTGACCGGAGATCGAACCCGCAACCTTGGCGTACCAGGACAACGCTCTAACCAATTCACCGACCCAGTCAGGACCAGAATTAACTTCTGAACTCTCATAACAGCTTGCTGTCTCTCTCATTGCACTTACTGTCTTCCTAAGTGGAGTTATCTTTGTACACATTCCATTTCCCCTGTTAAAGACTATAAACTTCTTACAGGTGTTCCAACTCCTTAGGGACTGTTTTAGCACCTCACTAGTGCCTTCAGTTCCTCTATGTATGTCCTTGGCAAGCATTTTGTGATATATGTCAAATGAGTGAATATATGGATGGAAACAGGTATTGAAAAAAACAGATTGGGAGCAAACTGTAAAGAATTTTAAACTCCAGCCTGGCCAGTTTGGTTCAGCGGTTAGAGCATCGACCTGCAGTCCAAAGAGACCCGGGTTCGGTTCCCGCTAAGGTCATGTACCTCGGTTGCAGTTTGTCCCCGGCCCTGGTTGGGTTGTGCGGGTGGCAGCCACTCGATGTGTCCCTTTCACGTCGATATTTCTCTCTCTCTCTCTCTCTCTTCCTCTTCCTCTTCCTCTCCCTCCCTCCCACTCTGTCTGACCAAAAAACGAAAAAATGTCCTCGGGTGAGGATTTAAAAAAAAAAAAAATTTTAAAGAATTTTAAATTCCAAAATAAAGGATTTGGTAGTGGGCACTGTGAGGTTGTGAGCAGGGTTTAGATATGCTCTAAATGATCATTTAAGAATAAAATGATAGAGCTGTACCAGGTAGATTAGACTGAGAAGATACTTGATACATAACCAAGAAGCTTATTCTAGTCAAGGTCAGTCATAAAGGCCTGATAGAAATAAAGTTCAAGAGAGACTCTGAAGGAAAAACTGATATGATCTGGCAACTGGGCTCGAGCTGGGAAGCCAGCAACAAAAATGAGCATAAAGAAGTCCCTTAAGGTTTTGAACCTGATTACTTTTGGAAATAAAATTATAATCTCCTCAGGAGTAGGGTCTTATTTATAATTCCCCCATGTGGCTAGCAGCTGCTACTGAAAAAGAATTATAGTTTAGGGCAAAAACCTTATTATGAATCAGTATTTAATTGTGACTGTCTAAACCCCAAGTAGTTGTAATTCGAATGTAGTCATTTATCCAACAAAAACACACTGTACTTTTATTTTATTTTTTTAATCCTCACCTGAGGACATTTTTCTATTTATCATCAGATAGAGTGGGAGGGAGGGTGGGAGGGAGAGAGGGAAACATCAGTGTGAGAGGGACACATTGATTGGTTGCCTCCTGCACTACCCGACCAGTGCCGGGAGACAAACCACAACCAAGGTACGTGCCCTTAACTGAATCGAACCCATGACTCATTGGTGCGCAGGCCAACTCTTTAACCACTGAACCAAACTGGCCGGGACACACACTGCTTTTTTAACTTCCTGTGACACTTTAAACAAATACCCTTTTCTGGGTTTTGTTTCAGTATAAAAAAGAGCTACCTAAAAGTCCACCTCGAGGTAGAAAGGAACGTTTCAGGAATCGTGTTCCCTCAGCCTACAGTGAGCAGAGACTGGAGAACCAACTGGTAGAAACGCTGAAGGCCTCTGTACCCTTTCTGCTTTAGACGCTATATGAACAGGACTGTCATAAAAATAGGAAGCACGAAGAAGGGCTGGTTTGGGAGAAGAAGCTAAGTTAGGGTCTGAGTTGAACATATAGGCATCAAGAGATTCTGCATGTCTAAGTGGTTAAGATAGTGAGCTGTGGGGCCAGACAGACCACTTGGGTTCAGATCCTAGCTGTGCACAGACAGGCTCTGGTGTGCAAGTTGCACAGCTTCTCCGTCTGTAAGCTGAGGGTGAAGCCCTCCTGATGGCCCACCTGATGGGGCCCTTAAGGGTTGAACGAGGTAACACTTATAAATGTGTTTAGGGCTTCAGTGTGGCAAGACCTTCTGGGTGCCGCAGCAACTCCAAGGAGCACCATTAGATATTTTAAATATAATAAATTTTCAGAAGAAACAGCAGCACTTGACATCTGTCAGATACCTTATGAACTACCAGCTCAAAGTAATTCAGTTTTAACATCGTGTACATTCCTTTCCGTAAAGCCATGTCTTTTTTTTTTTTTCCTTTATTTATTTTAGAGAGAGAGAGGGAGAGAGAGAAACATGGATGAGAGAGAACATCAATTGGCCACCTCCTGCATGCCCCCGGCTAGGGATCAGGCCCACAACCTGGGCATGTGCCCTGTCCGGGAATTGATCCGGCGACTTTTTGGTGCATGGGTCGACACTCAACCACTGAGCCACACTGGCCAGACTAAAGCCATGTCTTTTCAAAGCTGGGTTTCTGTGATTGCTCTGATCAAAAGCAAGTACCACAAGAAAACCCACATGGGCACCGTGAGCCAACAGCATTTGGGAACTTTGGCTTTACACAGTACTCAGCACGTTCGTGAACATCTCTTTTTTTTTTTTTATCCTCACCCGAGGACATTTTTCCTTTTTCGTTCAGGTAGAGTGGGGGGGAGAGACAGGAACAGAGAGAGAGAGAGAGAGAGAGAAACATCGACGTGAAGGGACACATCGAGTGGCTGCCACCCGCACGACCAACCAGGGCCGGGGACAAACTGCAACCGAGGTACGTGCCCTTAGCGGGAACCGAACCCGGGTCTCTCCGGACCGCAGGTCGACGCTCTAACCGCTGAGCCAAACTGGCCAGGGCTTGTGAACATCTCTTAAATGTTAGTTGTTATAGTCTCTCCCTAGAACTTCCAGAGAGCAATGGAAATGTGAGACCTAGAATTCAGTAGGACAGTCGAATCTGGGGTTAGAAGCTGGGTGTTCCTGTGCAGTGAATGAAATATGTGAGTGGATGAGAGGGAATAGAGCCCAGAGCAGAACCTTGTAGAACGCTCACCTTGGGGCTCTGGCGAAAGAAGAGGAGGCAGTCGTGTTGAAGGAAAACCAGAGGGGTCGGTGTCATGGAAGTGAGGGGACAGAGCCTCAGGAATAGATGGTCTCGTGCTAGAGAGGATGAGTTGAGTGTAGTGGGGAAGAAGAGAAGCCAGATTGGCAGAGTTCAGAGAATAGTGAGAAGTGAAGGCAGCAGGGGGTGGAATTCTTACTGGAGAATTTTGACTGATACAAAGAAGGGAAATTGGACTATCACCCTGGTGAAAGGTAATATTTTTAGTGTTGAGTTTTGTTTGGAAAGTGGGGTTTTTTTGCTTGCATGTTTGTTTGTTTGTTGAATCCTATTTTCTAAGCAGGAGCAGAGAAATCACATGGATGGATATACACACACACATACATATGTATGTATATTTTTTAGCATAATAATTTTTAATTAGAGGGAAAATTTTACATATACCAAGTAAGAAAAATGAAAACAATCAAATTTTAAGATTAAGAAGGTACAAATTTTTTATGTCAAAAACAAGAAAGGTGCCCAGTCAGTGTTGCTCAGTGGTTGAGCATCAACCCATGCACCAAGAGGTCACCGGTTTGATTCCTGGTCAGAGCACCTGCCCAAGCTTTGGGCCCAGTCCCCAGTGAGGGGCATGCAGGAGGCAGCCAGTCAATGTTCTCTCACATCGGTATTTCTATCTCTCTCCCTTCCCCTTCCTCTCTCTCTAAAAATTAATAAAGGGAAAAAAATGTTTTATAAGTCCCTATTTTTTAAAAAAAGCAAAACAAGAAAGGATCCCCTCAAACATGACTTTTCTACAAAGCTAATAGTGGAAGAGTCAAAAAGCATAATCTTACTTTCCTGAATGTGTTTTATTAAGTACAAAAAGGAGATTATATGCTCACTATTTACTAACATTCAGCTAAACTCACAGGGCAGCCTTGAGTATTTCTTAAGTTCTTTATCATGGTTATTTAATACATGACTTCCTCTGGCCATTTATACTTATCTGTTTGCTCATTTGTAATGATTTCCATTTATTCAGGAAATGCAAGTGGCTGATGAAACCGTGAAACATGGTCACTGATCATAACTATTGAGTAAAAGAGTTCACTGCAAATGTGAGCAGGGTTATTATTTTTTGCAAGATCCATCCCATGGTAATATCTTGATGATCCCCTTAAAGATTATCCCATTGGAGTGGAAATTCTTGTGTATATAAGCAGAGCAGG